TTTTCCCAGCACCATTTATTGAATAAGGATTCTTTTCCCCAGTGTATGTTTTTGTCTGCTTTGTCAAACATTAGATGGCTATATGAGGACGGTTTTATATCTGGGTCTCAGTTCTGTTCCATTGCTCGCTGTCTCTGTTCTTATACCAGTGCCATGCTGTTTTAGTTACTATAGCCTTGTAGCTTACATAGCTTGAAGTCTGGTAAATTGATCCCTCCCAATTTTTCTTTTTGCTTAAGATTGCTTTTGCTATATGGGGTCTTCTCTGGTTCCATATGAAGCATTGAATTATTTTTTATAGATCTGTGAAAAATGATGTTGGTATTTCAATAGGGACTGCCTTGATCACTTTAGGTAGCATAGACATTTTAACAATGTTGATTCTGCCAACCCATGAGCATGGTATGGTTTTCCACCTGTTTATGTCCTCTGCTATTTCCTTCCTTAGTGTTTTGTAGTTCTCTCTGTAGAGGTCTTTTACCTCCTTAGTTAAATGTATTCCTAGGTATTTTACTTTCTTGCTACTGTGAAGGGTATTGAGTCTTTGATTTAGTTCTCAGTTTGACTCTTGTTGGTGTGTAGGAATGCTACTGATTTCTGTACGTTGATTTTGTAACCTGAGACTTTGATGAATTTGTTTTTCAATTCCAGTAGTCTCATGGAAGAATCTTTGGGGTTTTCTAGATATAAGATCATCTCATCAGCAAAGAGTGATAGTTTGACCTCTTCTGTCCCCATTTGGATGCCCCTAATTTCCTTCTCTTGTCTGATGGCTCTGGCCAGGACTTCCAGCACTATGCTGAATAGAAGTGGTGATAAAGGGCAACCTTGTCTGGTTCCAGTTTTAAGCAGGAATGCTTTCAATTTTTCCCCATTCAGTATGATGTTGGCTGTGGGTTCATCATATATGGCTTATATCATTTTTAGGTAGGTCCCGTCTATGCCTATTTTGTTAAGCATTCTTATCATAAAAGGGTGCTGAATTTTATTGAATGCTTTTTCTGCATCTATTGAGAGGATCATATGGTCTTTGTTTTTGCTTCTATTTATACGTTGAATTACATTTACAGGTTTGCATATGTTGAACCATCCCTGCATCTCTGTTAAGCCCACTCTTGAGACATATGGTCCAGAAAAAAAGATTCCTTTTAAAATATTACTGCTCATTGATGATATACCTAGTCACTCAAGAGCTTTGATGGAGATGTATAAGATTAATGTTGTTTTCCTGCCTTCTAACACATTCATTTTGTAGCCCACAGATCATAGAGTAATTTCAACTTGAAATTCCAAGTAACTGAAAAATGCTTTACTAGATCCTAGACGCTACCAAAATAGAAACTGCAGTTCTGAGTTAGTTTGTATATGTGGCATTTAGGGGACCAAAGAGACCTGCATTGAAAGAATAAATCCTCAGGGTTTAAAAAAAAAAAAGGAATACACATTGTGTGATTCTACGTATGTAAAATTTTGAAGACGCAGACTAATTTGTAGGGACAAGAGTAGATCAGTTGTTTTCTAGGGATTTGTTGGCAGGGAGAGGTGTGAGGGAGGGAATATAAATGGGCATTACAAAAATTTTAGAGGTGATATGTCAGTCATACACCAAAAAAGCAGTAAGAATTGAAGTTTGCAAGTATGCTGAATGAGGCTGATTTCTCTATTTCTACCTGCCCATCCAGACTAATGGGGACAAATTATGGAAGCATGGTGGCTTCTTTGGAGTTAAATAAGGCCCTGATGGCAGAGGAACCCTATATTGACTACCCACTAGGTGTCAGACCCTGTGTTAAGCACTTTAAATGAATTAGCTCTTTTAATTCTCATAAAAACTTTTTGAAGTAACATTATCCTTATTTTACACATCAGAAAATAGAGCCTCGAAGAGTTTGAACAACTTGCTCTGTGAATGCTACTCTCTGCCACACAGCCAGTGCTGTTGAAGACTTCACTGCCTGCTGCCAGCCACAGTGCTTTGCTTAGTCCTAGGAACTCTACCTTCCCCTAAAATATTGGGAATGGTGAGGGAGTGGAATCATCCCCTGGGACTTATGTGTTCTTGCTTGGTCTGGAGTCCAGGGTGGTACCGAGGACCTGAGAGAGATTAGGATTCTTGCACTTTGGGTGACCAACCATCTTCCTGGGAGAGAAGGGGTTCCTGGAATGCAGGACTTTGATTTTAATACCACACTGAGTCAGTCACCAAACTCTAGCTCAGCAGAGGCCTTGTTCTCCAGGACTCAGGTTTTCTGGCTCCTTGGTCCTTCAGGACGCGTCCAGAATATTTTCCTGGACTTTAGGCCCGACTGATGAGATGGCTTCACAGTTAAATAAAGGAACAAAGGAAGGCAATGTTCTTTTTTCATTGCTCTTATTTCTGTACGGTCTGAATGTCAGGATCACTAGGGAAGATGATTCCTGCCTTTTCAACCTTACATTTCCAGGTGGCTATGAAAAGAATCAGGGCCTCTAGTTGGGTGGAAATGGTAGTCAATGGGAAAGTAGCTTTTCTAAACATACTGAGCTAGACCCTCAGTGATCCCCGACCCTTCAAAATAGGGGACATGGCTCCAGAGACAATCTACTTGTTTGGCTTCTTTTGTCCCCCCAAACCTGGTTGGGGCCCAGTTTGTGGACTTTGGGGCTGTTGTTGGCTTTGAGAGCCCTTGCCCTGGGTTTCGGGTGAGTTGGGCTCAGACTCCTTGTCAGGGGAGGTGCACTCGGGTTTGGCCTCCAAACAGCAGCACTTGGCCTGAATGCAACATGGGGGTTTTGGCTGGCAGCACTGATGGCATTTTGGCTGGCTACATTGAGGGCATTTTGGTTGGCAGCATTGATTGCCTTTTGTCTGGCAGCATCGATCACATTTTGGTGGGCAGCCTGGGTTGCATTTCGGTTGGTCACACATCTGGAGATTTGGAGATCCTAGAAAAAAAGAGAAGAATCTTGTCATCAGAAGGAAAGCTGGGTACCTGCTTTAATCCCCTCCTTCCTTAACCCCCAGATACATCCATCTTCAGGGTGATGACTCAGACCAGGGTTAGGAAAGCAGGGGGCACAGCCAGCCCCATAAATATGTGCCCTTGTATATGTCAGTATGTTTGTTCCTTACCAGGGAGCCATTTGCCAGATAAAGAATCAAAAGACCAGAATATGTAAGAAATTTGCCTGAGGTCTCTTATCTAATGAGAAATGGTGTGATCCTCAGGAGACTGATTCTGAGTCAAGTGTCAGACACTTCATGGACATTATCTCATGTAATGATTGCTACCAGCCTAAGAGGTAGGCATTTTGACCCCACCTTACGTATGAGGACAAATGAAGTTCAGAGATTTACCTCAGTTGCTTATAAGTGGATTCAAGCCAGGTTCCATCCCCCCACCCCCACCCCAAGCCCAAGCATGTGCTTGTTCTGGTCTCAGATGTGGCACCCGGGGACTCACGTGCACTTAGGGTGACCATCTGTCACACATCTCCTGAATGTACCATCTCACGCTTTGCACTGAGCACATGAGAGGTTGGCTGCTGCTGGGGTGGTGCCAGCAAGACAGAATGGAGAGGACATTGCTCTTGGCATCACAGGACCTGACTTCCAGGCCTAGGTCTACACTCCCCAGCCACAGGGCTTGGGCAGCTCTCTCTTCACTTCTCTGGGCTTTTATCTCTTCTTCTATAAAAGGGCAGTGGTGAGGTTGAGGAGGGAGAAATTGGACCTTGTAGGTGTCCTCAAACTCAGCCATTCAGAACTTTTGTAATTTCCCAATTCTTCTAGGAGTAGAAAAAACCAAAACAACTCTTTCTTTGCTTCTATCAACCCACCCTCCTTCCCCCCCGGAAATCAAGTCCTCCCCGGAAGGTCCTTAGGCCTAGGCCCCAATTTGTGACCCCTGTGGTAGCTCCTATACGGTTTACCCTGTTCCTCCTATGGCACATGGATGAATGAATGAATGCCACTGTTGTGGCCTCAGACCAGGACGAAGGGTCTAGAAGTGGCCGGGAGTCAGCAGGCAGCGAGCAGGGTTGTTACCCAGTCTTGGGGGAGATGTAGAAGGAGGGGAAATGAGCACATACCCCCCACTGGGGACTCAGCCCACAGCATGCACCCACGTGAGGGAGGGCCCAGGCTTATCAGAGCCCTGTCACCGAGTGGGAAGGATGGGTGTGGGACTTGGAGTGACAACAGCTGATGTGCAACCACCCTCTGGCCTCCGACACTCGCAGGATTTGTGAGAAAAGCCTCTGGCCCAAATTAGTTTTTTTAAACTGAACCAGTTACTGCTGTGGGCTTTCCTCTAAGCACACACATGCCTGTCCATCCATGTGGGGTGTGTGTGTGCACACATGCACATGTCTGCATGCGTCCGTGCATAAGCATAGGTGCACAAAAGGAAGAACTAGAGGTTTGTGATGATGGCGGTTTAGCTGGATCAAGTTGAGACTACTTGGACTCACTTATGAGCCCTTTAAATTATGAGTGACTACCTCACAGCAGGTGCCTCCTTCAGCTGTGGGCTCCTCTCTCCTCCCAGTGGCCCCTTCCTTGCCCTCCATCCCATGCCTGCCCTGCCTCCTTGCCATTGGGCCACTTCCTGCCAGACCTGCTCCAGATGCTCTATCTGATGCTTAGAAAGCCACATCTCTTGCTGTTTTGTCCTGTTCTTTTCTGTGTCCTCAAGATAGAGGGACTCCTAGGGACAGGAACTACAAATCCCTCCTCCCATCAAAGGCTTCCTGAGGGTCACCCCTGTAGGACTGAAATCTGTATCATCCTCCCTGGAAGGTGTACAGGATTCTCCAGTTGGGTGGTTACTAAAGGACACCTGCCAGATGACCTACTTTGCTGTCTGAAGTGGAAGACTCAGGGCTTTGGCTGTCCTAAATGACAGGTGTCAGGCTCTTAGACTCAACCCTTTTTGTCTGGGGATCTACCTAAATCCAGGTCGTGCTGTACAAACTGTCCCGCTGAGTCAGGTGTGGCTGATATCTCCACCCATGGAAGCAGCAACTTTCAAACTGATGAGCCGTGGTTGAGCCCAGCCCAACTTTTCTCCACTTCAGCTTTCTGAACAGTCAGAGCCTTGCCTTGGGGTTTCTCTGTGGGAGACCCCTGGCCTGTGCCCAAGGAGGCCGTACTGTGTCCCCTGACGCTGTCTGAGAGTTCCCTGGTGGAAATGCCCACAAGGCCCCCTACGCTTTGAATTTTCTAAACTAGGGCACCAGGAATAAGAGAAATTTGGGAAGGGTCACCTTGCAAGACCCTGCCACCTGCTTTAAACCCTCCACACTCCCAAGCCCTGACTATATGGCTGCAGCCTAAACCGGGTCAGAGGCAGTTCCCGCATGAAAGGGGAAAATGACTTCTTGGCTTGGGAGGTTGACTTTAACTCACTTGTGACTCCAATGCCTGCCAGTTATTCTAGGACTCATTCTGCCTTTCCGGAAGAGGATTCCCCTTTTAAGAGGAAGACACAAGGCCAAGATTTCTAAGGGGTGGGGAGGGGACAAGTCACAGTCCCTCCTCCCAGGTCAAGGAAGCTGCAAAGAGGCTGAGTGAGGTGGCAGAGACCTGCCCTGCAACGCCCTGACTTGCCTGGGAGGGAGCAGGTGGGCAAGAGGCCAAGCAACGGGAGGCACAGAGAAAGGAAATGGGACAGGGACACATCAGCATAAAAACAGGTCAAAGGAGAGAGTGAAGGGCCTTGAGTGCCCTGCTGTCTACCACCACTACAGTGTTCAAAGCTGTGTCACATGGGGAGACAGAGAGAGAGAGAGAGAGAGCAAGGGCACACGTCCTTCGGGTGCCCTTGCAGCCTTGCAGCCTATGGGCGTGAGTGTGGGTGTGTGCAGGGACCCTGATATCCGTCTCTGTCTCCTTGTTTGAATCTTCTCCCTCAGGGGCCAGACCTAAGACCAGGCTCTGAGAGGGGAGGGGGACGAGCGAGTCCCTTCAGGTTTCGTTTTCTGTTGTTTCTCTCTGTCTGTGTTTGGTTTTGCCTCCTTTGCCACTTCTTCTCTCTGCCTCTCCACCGCTCTCCAGTCTTTCACTCTGTTTCTGTCTTTCTCTCCCCTTCTATGACTGTGGTTTACCTTTCTCTACCCTGATGGTCAGTGCCCTGACTTGAGTGTTCAGAGTCTCTTTGCCACTGGGAAATCCAGCTTGGTAGGATCCATCCTTCCAGGTACAAGCTGGGTTGTTTCTACAAAAGCAATTCTCATTCCAGCCACCAGGGGGTGTGGAGGCATCTGAAGGCACTGGGGACTCCCATCCAGGGGCTCCCCCACAGACATCCCCTCCAAGCATGAGCCCTGTGGTCAGGTCCTAGGAATAAGTCCTGAAAGTGGAGCTTGCACCATGTGGAAGATGGAGAGCAGGTCGAGAGTCAGCCCAGCGCCCTGCGGCATAGGTGGGGCAATGCTAAGTCCCTCAGCAGCCTCCCCACCCTGGACGCAGGTCCCTGCCCTGTGAGCGAGCACTGTCTCCACTGTCTCCCTGCTGCCCGGTGGACAGTGCCTGCTTTCCTTTAATCAGAAAGCACCTCTAGTCACTGGCCTCCTGACAGATGTTCCTCCTTTAATCCAGGAATAGTTAACCCTCCTTGAACACTCCCACTTTCAGAACCTCCTCTCCTTCCCAACAAACTTGCCTGGACCACCCTGCCTCCTGTGAGACAGTTTCTTCTCCTTAGGACAAGATTCTCCCCAAGCCCCATGTTCCCTCCTTCCTCACAAAGCTCCACACAGCCTGTCCCAGGAAACCTGCCAGATTGTGCCATAACACCTGTGGCACAGAGCCAGGGCCATCCTTTTAGGTCTTAGTGCTCTGTTTTAGTGAGGATCCACGTAGAGCCAAACCCAGGTCCATTAAGGTCCTGGCAAAACACCCTACCTTCTCTTAGACGTCTGTGCACCAGCCCAGCGTCACCTGCAGCCACGTCCTCTCAGGCTGATCCTCAGACTGGCTCAGAGCAGACACCTGCTGATCCCACTCACCCCTTTCTGGATCTTTGAACGTGTTCTGCCCTGTCCTGAAACACCGTTCCCCGGTCTCCATCCCCACAGCCTCATTCAGTATTATCCAAACCTAAGGTCTCCACTTAAACAGCACTCCCTGGGGGAAAACTTCCTTAACCTATAGGCTCTGTCTCCCTGATGGGCTTTCTTGGAGACCCCTGTACTTCTCATCGCACTTTTATCATAGTCATTACTTCCCTACTTGTCTGATCTCTCTGCTGTGCTGGCTTCATGAGCATGGGTGTCCTCACTATCTTGCCCGCCACTGTTCCGTACCTGACAAACTGCGTGACATTATGTTGGCCTCAGTAAGCAAATAAGTAATGAATGAATGAATGAACGAATGAACAAGCCATGGGAGGAGGACCACCCAAAAGACAAGGTTTCTCCGCGTTTCCTGGTCTGGTCACACAGTCCTCAATTCACAATTTTCATGCTTGACTTCTCACGGAAACTGTCTTCCCTTGACTGGGTCTAGCAGATGTGGTGGATCTTCCTCAGCGGCCTAGTGAGTCCATGACTAACAGAAGTCAAAGTGTTCTGAGCCAAATGAGTTCCCTGCCCTCCTAGTGCCAAGAGCCTAAGATTCTAAGCCTCTATGACACCATAATTCTCTCTCCAAGACTCTATGACTATGAGCAGCAGGCTGACTCACCAGCACCCCCTGCTGGCTGGAGAGTCTGACCCTCTTACTTTATTTGCTGAAAGAAAACTCTTTAACCCATAAGCATTCTGTCACTTCAAACACAAGCCTAAAGCACAAATTTGTATTGAGTGTCCACTATCTACCAGAATCTGGCCTAAAAACTGAAGTGTAGCTCAATAGGATGTAGTTCACATTTTCAAAGATCTAATTCAATATCAAGGCAAGTCAATAAACAACTTTGGTACCGTGTG